AGGACACATTTCTTTTCAATTCATGGTGCATTTTGTTTTATAGGTATCAAATGCAGTTTTTCCAAGAAAGCAAAACAATGGAGCAGAACTGAAGTGTTATTTCAATAAAACCATGATCTGATTGATCAAGTGAAAGATGATACCAGTTGTGAAAGTTGTCGAAACTCTACAGCAAGCAAAGACAGTAGTATTCATCAATACATGTATTACTTCTATTAATATTCATCAGACCAAAAAGAATTTTCAATATTGAAATTTGAAAAATATTTAAATTGGCAGTTGAAAATCTCACTTAATTATTTTACAAATTCAATATCAAGTAAGAGCATCACAGCAAATTTGTATGCTACTAAAATGTTCAAAGCATTAGAGAGTTTCAAAATTTACTGATACAAACTGCAAAGTGTCCTATAGGGAACAGGCATTGGTGGAGTTCAGTAAGAGCCAACAGGAAAATGAATTGGTTTGGCTTTAAAATCCAGAAAATGATTCTCCCAGAAAGTGAACAATTACTTGTTTATGATATGTGAAGAATGTTGGAGAGCAGTAAATTGTCCAGATTGTGTTAATCCACTGCTTTATGGGAGAAGAAGAAAGTAATGAATGAAAATGACGAAATTTCATAAATGAAATAAATAGCTAAGTAGCTCAAAAAAGGAGGATATATTGTGTCACATTCATCCAAAAAAAATTTCAAGTCATTTCACCTTCCTCCTGTAAAAAGAACTTATCTGAAATATCTCAATGTTTGTATCAATGATATTGAAAATTTGCAGACATTGTTTCTGCTTATATGTAACACTCAAATGAATATGCTGATCAAATGACTAGTATAATGAATAATGTGTTCACTTGGTTCACTTGTGTAAATATTGAGCAAGTATGTATACATGCATTAAATGTAAATAAAGGTTTATACATATAATAAGAGCAATTCAAATTTCCACATTTATTGAACACAAATCAAAACATAAGGAAAAACAAAACAACTCTATCATACATTTCATTTACACAATAAATTTTTGGCCTTCTCGGGGGCTACTCACATATAGAAAAAATAAAAAGAACTTCCTGGGTTGACACCGTCAGGAATTTATAGCTAAAACTGTAACCATAGAAACCTGGGTTGACACCATCAGGTTGTGTATGAGGGTACCCGGGTTGACACCATCGGGTTCTAATGAATGGAACCTGGGTTGACACCGTCAGGTTAAATTTTGAGATACTTGGGATAATTTTTCTACTCACATATAGAAAAAATAAAAAGAACTTCCTGGGTTGACACCGTCAGGAATTTATAGCTAAAACTGTAACCATAGAAACCTGGGTTGACACCATCAGGTTGTGTATGAGGGTACCCGGGTTGACACCATCGGGTTCTAATGAATGGAACCTGGGTTGACACCGTCAGGTTAAATTTTGAGATACTTGGGATAATTTCGAGATACCTGGGTTGACACCATCAGGTTTACATGAAAGGACCCGGGTTTACACCATCGGGTAGCTATAATTAATTATATAATGCAGAAAAAATTTATCTGAAATGGGGGAAAACAGGCAAAAAATTTATCTGAATAGGGGAAAACAGGCTGTTGAACATGAATACATAAAAAATTGTGAGAGCCCCAATGATGGTATATACATGTACAATTAAAACATTTTAAACATTTTGGAAACATATTACAAAAGGTGCAGTCTGGGGAAGGTGGGTGGGATAACAAAAAACACAGAGCATGTACATCCAGCTGAAGTTAGAACAAAGGAATGATGATGTTACATGAAATTTGATGCGGATTAGTTTGGGGGTCACGTGGCTACGGACCCCCCGGGATCTTCCTGTCCCTCGCACTATGCATTACCTAATATGGACATGAAATACTGGCTCCTAAGACTGATAATCTCTCTAAAAATAGCTTCTTTGTCTAAGTGTCAAACAATGATTGTTTTTACAAATTCGATTAGATTTACAACACTTTGACCAAAATTACACTGCAATTCTTTCTACATGAATTCGCCCAATGAATGTTAAATTAGTAGTTCAATAACTAACAGAATGTATAGGGGAAAACATTTAGGTACACATGAAAACTTGATGGTTATGTATAAACAAAATTTTTTCTTACATAAAAAATATCATTTTATACTTAAGTTTATCCATTTAGTGGTTTATTTAAGGAATCACTGTCTAGTTAGCATAGTATGCCATGGCATCAACACTACTAAGAGGGAAACATGGGATAATTTGCCCGTTTTGCCCATTATGCGTAAATTCTCCCATGATTCCCACTATTGGTGATGTCCCTGGCATACTTTACTAATTAGATAGTGATTCCTTATATTTCCATTTCATTGTGAAATAAAATTGTACATTTAGACTTTAAAAAATGTAGACATAGATTTAAATTACACAAGGACTCCCATGCCAATTTAAACAGTCATCGCTCACTGACATCAAACACAAAGGCAGCCACACGAGATATACATGCATATTTGGCCTCCTTAGCGTCAGACACAGAGACAGATGCGCACAAGATTTTCATGCATATTAGGCCTCCTTAGCTCCTGACCTATCAACCTGCCTTATTTACATTCCGATAGAATTATCAAGATATCAACTCTGCTAACTTTCAAAGAGTTATCACAGAGATGGAAACATAAAAAAAATTCATAGCCATAAAAAAAATTCATAGCCAACCCCCCAACCCCCCGGCTTCTTTTTCTATGTATTTTTTATTTAAAGTCATTAAGTATTAGATTGGGGGCTATGTTTGTTTAAATTCTGTAATACAGATAGGAAGAACTGTAGAAATTATTTTTTTTTAGCTTTGGACATGTTTTGAGCTATAATTTTGAATAGCTTAAACTGTATCCTTGAAATTTTTTATGTGTAAATTTCACAAACTTTGACTTTCAATATTTTCTAAAGTGTACATTGGCCAAGGGCAATTTTTGTATATTTTGTTCACAGAGGCATTCTTAACAACAAGCAATAAAATTTACTGGATTAAAACATCCCCCCTTTTTAATAGAAAAGTTTCAATTCCAAACAAAGCCATCAAACTAGGCTAGGTAACATCGTGCACCAGGAAGTAAACTCAACTTTAGTGGAACAAATTAACAACTGTGGTATGATTGCTATGTTGAAAAAATGTATGTTCATTTATTGAGGACATTTCGTTCAACAGCTTGTAAGCTATTTTGACATATGTAAAACAAATAATTCTGATAATCAGAATGCTTAATTCCAAGAGTTTTATTTTTTTTTTATATACCTTGATTTGAGAGAATAAGATTATATAAAGAATTATCCATTTTCACCACATACATGTTTTATCATTAGACCTCCGTTCTCAAATTTTAATTTTGGGTCATGAATTTCAAAATTTTGGCAGTGGACTCAAAGCTTATTATAATTATAATCAAGCCAACAGCTTGACTGCTTAGTGTCCATGAGATAAGAAGAGATCTTAAGGATAAGATTAATTTTAATTGTTTTAGTCCCAAGCCGTTGGTTTGAGAAGTCAGTTACAATAAAATTACCAATTTTTGTATCCTTCACCTATTATAGCTTTTAAAATATGTATTCTCAATTTTTTAAAAATGGTTATAAATAAGTGATTCAAGAAAATAAATTGAAAATGTTCAAAAGTTGACAACCGACACATAACGTACGACGATGGACAACATGGATAGCAATAAAGTTACCTGAATGACTCGGTTGACCTGAAAATTTTGCATGAAAGAAATGGAGAAAAAAATAAAACGTAATTATCGAGAGCATGATAATAAAATATTCCAAGGAACGCATATGTAACCTGCTTTAAAGCAGCATAAAAGGTGGACCTAAATCTAAATTTTGGGAGATATAGTCATATGATATAGAGAGGGGGAAAGAGAGAGAGGTGTTGTCAGCACCACCCTATAGTATATGTTTCAGAATATAAGATGTCGCTTCTCAATCTAGTCTTTTTTTCAGATACTTTGTCGGAGATTGATGGCCCGAAACAAGGCGCTTTTCACCGATCTATTATCGTCTGGTTTAGGCTTAGCTTTTTGTGCTGTTGCTACGGTAACACCTGGATTCCTTATTAATGAGGTAATTTTTATTCTTTTCTGCAATATAACAATAAAGAGAGAATACATCCGTATGTTTTACAGAGTTCAGGAAATACAAATCTCTTTCTATCTATTCTATTGTAGAATCAAAAGATGAGCATCTTTTACTTTATCTATAAGGAGATTGGATCTAACTCATGGTCAACAAAGACTTACCTAGCTTATGATAAGGAGCACGATACGAAAGGATTAAATCAGCGCTGTAAATTAATCTCTTTTTCTCTCATATTAGTTTTGTCAGATGTTTTCAACTTTAAAAAATACATAGACGCATTTGAAGAGCTTTGATTTTCACACCCCTCAAAAGAGGTACCACATCGTACATAACGTATCATAGGTAATGGAATAAAAAAATCTTTAGAAAAGAAAAAAATGTTTCTTTTTCAGCAATGCTTTATGTGCAGTTGGAATGCCTACTTACTCTTGTTCTTGGTGGATTCGGTTGGTTGGTTCTTTTGTCAAATACCAGGAAAACAGCGCCAATACCACTGAGGTGTTTGACGGGGGGAATTTTTCTACTACTTGCAGGTAACAATGCTTTGTCTTCCTGTTAAAGTGTCCAAACTCTACAATTTAAGACATTTTGTAATTTTCGAATACCAACACTTGTCATCATTAAAAGAGTTCGCATTTGTCAGTGATACATATTTGGAGAGACGTAAACTTATATGCCACAATGTATTGAAAGAAAAAAAAACAAAGAAATATTATCTTGCAAATTTGGACAAATCTAGTACTGATGATTCAAAGAAGGATATGGAGATAACGAACAGTATTCAATTTCAAACCAGGAAGAATTTTTTTTTCTGATTATGTCAGGATGAAATGTCTTGAATTGGATTCTTAAAATTGTTGATAATTAATAATTAATTATCTTTTTTCAGCTAGTTCTGAGTTCGCAGTTCTGATACGCTTTATAGTTTTAAACACTAGTCATAGTGCTGTAAAAACAAATTTACAAAAATTGTTCGATAGCCTCAGGCTGTCGAAAGTCAAGGTTCCAATCTCCCTTATTGTTGCTGGCTTTGGTATAACCTTAATTTTTATTGCTGTGGTAAGAATTTTTATTCGCTATAAGAGAAACCAATTAACCTCCGAGATTCATCATCGATGTCAAAGGACCCTGTGAGTAACGACAGAGAATTCAGGATCGATTCTCAACACTTGACGGATGAAGACGAGAGATGTAACACAGAAGTCAGAGTTCAATGATAAAAAAACAATTATAAACTTTTATTTCATAAATTACATATGTAACAGTATTCCTCATAGCTTTTTTTTCAAATAGGTTAACCTAGCTAATTCATATTTTCCAGGTTACGTTGGAAAATTTTGTGTAAGATTTTGTTATATTTTGAAAAAAAATTAGTATAAGATCAGACACAAAACAAAACAAAGTCGCATATCAAAGCACTAAAGAAAACGTACGATTTCTTTATATTTTTGGTATTGATTATTTAAAAATCGGCCAAAAATACAGCGTAATCCAAATTTTGTTTTTGTTATTATTCTTTATTTTCAACGTCAAACTTAACCTAAAAAATGTAAAGTTCAATACGAATTAAGTCTAAGGTTAAGGACATAACACAAAATGTTGGTATACAGTGGCGTAGCATCGTTTTTGGAAGTGGGGGGGGGGGGGGGGGGGGGGGCAGGGAAAACTTTTTTTAAACATGAAAAAGTTTTTTAGAAAAAAAAAAAAAAAAAAAAAAAGGGGAAAAGCTGCCCAAGACCCGAAAATCCTTTTTCGGGGGTTGGGGGGGGGGGTGGGGGGGGGGGGTAGGTAAACTTTTTCTCTCAGTGTCAACTACTTCTAGTACCAATTCTTATACTGCATTTTCGGTACATTTCTAAAAGTGGAGGGGCCAACCAGGCTTTCATCTAACATTTCCTATAGTGTGAGTAAGGTTGGGGAAAAAGTGGGGGGGGGGCTAGGCCCCCCTGGCCCCCCGGATACTACGCCCCTGGTATATATAAAACATCTCTTACTCTATGAAGTTGTCTTTAATACAGTGTGGTATAAAGATGAATAACACATTTATGAAATCACTATCTAGTATGTTTGGTGTGCATGGGCATCAACTACAGTCTGAAAAGTGGAAAAATTTGCATGACAGCCGATGCCTGTTATGCAAAATTATCTCAGGTATAATATCTCTCTCTCTCTCTCTCTCTCTCTCTCATCTATCTATATATCTATCTATTTATGGGCGCATGGCAAAGGAACAGTTGCTACCCACTTTAACGACTAGGTCAGTCGCGGCCGAGACACGACCTCCCGATCACGGAGCGAGCGCTCTACCGACTGAGCTACCGTGAACGGTATATTGCTAGTTGTGATTTGAAATAAAAGAATTACTTGTTGTTGTAATTATGGTGACAAAATATTTTACATATACCGCTATAAATTTTGTCAACTTTTAAGAATTGTACATGTACATTTTGTCTTTTCGCGAAAGAACTTTTTTTTATTTTGTACATGTACAAATTTCATGAAATGTATATGTACAAAAAACAAAATTATAGGCCGTATTAACTTTTTTTTTTCTTTCGCACATGTACAAATTTCAGTTTCAAGAAATGTACATGATATCATCGTACAATTAGACAAAATTCTACGCACATAACCTCGGACGTAATTTTATTTAAATCATGATCTTATTTGAATTTCTTTCAAATGATATCGGCACACTCAACAATTTTTTCTTGCTTTCACAATTATCAAAACCTGTTTAGAGAATTGCATAAATTAAGAAACATTTTCGAGGTTATGCCCGAAATATGAAATGAGTGATAAGGCAGGTTGCCACATGGAATGTTATAGAAATAAGTTAAGAGAAATTGAATGCTAAAAATGAAATCATGATGCTTATCACAATGTTATTTGCTGGTTCGCCAACAATGTTTTTCTCCAAAAAAACATCTATAGAATTTTTAAAAAAAAAGTAAAAAAAAGTAACAGAAATCAGTTTATTTTTAAAATTTCTTTAAGAATACTAATAAAAAGGACGTGGTACAAAGAATCAGGTACTTAAGGTGCATGTCTAGAAGAAGGTGGGACCTGTTCAACAGAGCAAATGTTTTCGCGAGCGCTCGACAAATTCTTCAGAACTTCAACAGAAATGTTCGCGAGGTCTAGCTTTGATGAACAGGCCTTCGGAATGCGCCGTCATAATTGATTATGGTTAGCAAAGATATCGGAAGTAAAAATAAGCTTAAAAATATGAAAAATGTCCTGATAAATGATATATAAAACGTTATTCAACATACACCCGACCATATGTATTCCGGACAAACGAAATATATTGATCTCAAATACATATTATAATATTAATCTTTATGTCTGGAAATTTAAAACATATTTATTTTTTTTAGATCATAGGATGTGCTTATAATACAACACCCCGCTGAAAATACTCTACACACCTGTGTTCTGACAAAATCAAGAAATTGCAAGATTCAAAATTCCTTTTTCTCTAGTCGTTTGCATTACACAGAGCTTAGAGTGTTTGCTCTGGAGTCGCGTAGTACGATCGTTGGTTTGGAGAATGCTCCTTCGGATAAGACCATATTAACTGAAGTCCCTTGTCGCAGTAGATGCTGGAACGAAACGGACCCCTTACTGCATGCTCAAATGTTGTAAGTGGCAATTACACGTCTAAATGAAACCTCTACTGGCAAGTGATGACATCTCAAATAGAAGTGAAATTTTTTCAGGTGTCCGCGGGGGGGGGGGGGTAAAAAAAAAAAATCAATTACAAGACTTATAGGAAACTGTAGAAAATGCCAATCAAAATATCTACATTAAATTATTGTTTGAAATGAGACTCAGGGACCAACGAATAAAATAAATCTTTCTCTTTGAAGGAAACAAAGTTTAATTGATATAATAAACATAATATTTTTGAGCATTAAACTTATTTGCTATGATTACGAAATAAAAAAAAAACTGTAAAACAAGGAACAATCTGTATTTTTAATTTTTATTAATCATGTTCCGTTTGTCTTTTGAAGCACTTGATATAATTACACGACTAAAACACTAAAATATCCAAACAGGAATAAGGTACTTATTTTTTTATGATATAATTTTGGTTAATAATTATGTACTTCGTCACAATTGCAAGCATGTACTTGCAAAGGAAATAAATTACAGGTTTGATTATATCATGCATTGATATGACAAATTCGAATGATGAATGTTTTCGAGGTCTCACATAATTATAAAATGAAAACTTCTCATTACCTCATTTCTCATCTCCATCTTGCATGTAAAAGTGTACCAATTTTAAGCGATTGTTTTCTGTTTTTTTTTCTGCTTCTGATATCCTATTATGCTTCTGATCATTCATATTTCGTTTTTATCATTGATTACGCTTTTTCATCGCACAAAAGTCCCTACAAACAAAGATACATAGGGATTTCCAGTAAATGTTCTACCAAGTCTCTTTCGTCTCTCATCACTAAAATATTAAATGTAGTGAAGTAGAATCTAAAGAAATAGTATGCAATAGAATTATTCAAAAGTTGGTGTAAATTAGATGCGGGTACTTCAAAATTCAAAGGAACTTTTTTGAAAATTTGAGATCACAAAATTTTTTTTAAAAATCAATAGCATTAAAGCTAACTACGTTTCAGCTTTATATAAAACCAAACCTCGTGATAAATTAATTCCAAGATATCGTTGACTGCTGCTTTTTATAAAAATTAAACTCGTTAATTTACTTACCTTGTCATTGGTTATTTGCAATTCCGTTATTTGCCGATCATAACAAGTAGCAAACGGCAGGTGTGACCGATCGGCAGGGAATGCTTACTCCTCCATGGCATCTGATTTCACCTCTGATGTTTTGTAGGTCCGTGTTTGCTCTGTTCCTAATTGGTATTGTTTTATGGACTTTTGATCTTGAATACTGTTCGTTATCTCCATATATTTAATCCCATTGAACTCAAAATAAACATAAACAATACATACTCTGACACATATGTTTAATATTTTGGTTTTGAAGAAAATAAATAAACAATTGACAACTTTATGACTATAGTCGATAGTAGTTAAACAATTACATAGCTTTCCTCTATCAACTGCATTTGGAGTTGATATCTCCGAACTTTTTCGGTTGACTACCTAAGGATGTTACGAGAGCAATCAACTTTAAAACGAATCAAGCCACTGACAAATTATTTGATGTTTAAATAGCATTGTTTAAGATTTTTTTAAATCATGGACGTTATGATCTTGTTTGTAAAGACAGCGATTCTGTCTTGTGGTTTGATATATATACATATATATATATATATATATATATATATATATATATATATATATATATATATATATATATATATATATATATATATATATATATATATATATATATATATACATATATATATATATACGAGGGGTAATCATAAAAGTTCGCAAACTAAATAAATAATTTCCATACAAGAAACAATATTTGGTTTTAATGTTGATTATATTTTAAACTAATCCTCCCCGATTTTAATGCACATCAACCACCATTCTGCACATGCGCGAATCACGTGATATTGGCGGTCACGTGACCCCCTCCGTAGCGTTCTGTCACAAAAAATGAAAGATTTTTATGAGTTTTATATTTCTTTTTGTTAACAAAACATCATCAAGAAAATAACCAATACTTTTGTAAGTGGTAATTAACAAAGGGAATTCATTCACCGTATATTAGAAAACTTTGGAAATGACAGTCGAATTCAAAATTACCCAGAGTAAACCGCATAGATTTTCAAATGTCTTTAGGAAAGCTCTATTCATATCCTTAAACTTTACAAGATATCATATTCTCTTTAATTATGTTCAGCAAAGATATTTTGAGAGCTTAAATCAGGGTTTGATAAACAAAAATTAAACAATAAAAGAAAATGCATTGATGTTCTACAAGTGCACTCGAGTTTTCTTGCAAATCTTCTTTAGATATATGTATTTGAGCAAAAATAATATAAACACTCTATAAAGACAGTTTCAGACTTTTAATACAAGTTTTAAAAAAGCAAAGAGATAATAATGAGATAAAATGTACATATTTGGGCTCTATTTCCCCTAGGTGCATTCATATTTTCTAGCAAAACTACTTTAAATCTATGAATTTGAGCCAATTATTATACAATCATTGCTGTTTTTGAAGTCTATACGATGATTTGGCCTATCGCATTCGGTGAATATTTTTAAGGTGGCTAATCATCGTATTGATTGAAAGACAACAATATTTGTTTTATTTTATGATTTAAAGATGCAATTATAAGTACGTTTACTGAAGTGCTAGCCTAATGAGAGAAGGTAGGTTAGATAAA